GGGAGTGTGGCTCTGCCAACACCTTGGTTTCAGGCTTCTGGCCTCCAGAACTGTGAGAGAATGAATTGCTGCTGTTTTAAGCCACCCAGTTTGTGGAATTGGCTGCAATAACTCTAGGGTACCAGTACAGTCAGGGAGAACATTCACATTCAGTCCGGTCCTTTCAAGTTTAAGGAACCTGTAGGGCGATTGTTGGGGATAGCCAGTGGGCACCTGGAAATGTGAGAGGAGTTGGAATTTGAAATGTTGATTTGGGAGGCGTCTGCCCAAAAAAATCACGAAAAGTCAGAAGCAGATAAGATCACCAGGGGAGAGGGTTTGGATCAAGAAAAGAGGCTGTAGGTAGGGTAGGACCTGAGGGATCTCCTGCAGGGAAGGAGTGGAGGAGGGAAGAGAAGGCTGAACTGCTGCTCAGGATGGAGAACTTGCTCAGCCGTATTGCAGCCTAGAGAGGTCTCCAGGGTGCACATGGAAGAGTGATGCTGGTTTGAAAATCCTTTGATGATCAGGTGGGAGGTGGAAAAAAGTAGACAGGAAGCACTGACATTGAATACTCTTTTTTTATTTTTTTATTTTTTTTGAGAGGGAGCCTTGCTCTATCACCCGGGCTGGAGTGCGGTGGTGCAACCTTGGCTCACTACAACCCCTGCCTCCCGGGTTCCAGCGATTCTCCCTACTCAGCCTCCTGAGTAGCTGAGATTACAGGCACCTGCCATCACGCCTGGCTAATTTTTGTATTTTTGTAGAGATGGGGTCTCACCATGTTGGCCAGGCTGGTCTTGAACTCCTGACCTCAGGTGATCCACCCACCTCGGCTTCCCAAAGTTCTGGGATTACAGGCGTGAGCCACCACGCCCGGCCACTGACTACTCTTTTAATAAGTTTTTTTATGAAGACAGAGAGAGACATGGAATTGATTATAGATGGGGGAAGAAATAGAATCAAGGGAACTTTGTGCTTATTTATTTTGTAAGACTATGACACTTTTCATTATATTTTTAGGCTGCGGGAAGGAAGCAGGGAGAAGATGCAAATAATCAATGAAACAAGGTTCTAGAGAAAAGCTTACAAATCATTTGTGCTGTGCACCTACTATGTGCCAGTCACTGTGCTGGGGTTTAGCTGTGTGATCTCATTGATCTTCCAAACACTCCTACAGAGTGGAGAAGGATTGTCTCCATTTTCCACCTGGAGCAACTGGGGCTGAGAATAGTGAAATAACTTGCCCGGGTTAATACATCTTGGATTTGAGCCCAAGTGAGCTGGCTCTAATGTCTCAGTGCTTTTCATTATAATATTTCTCCACTGAAGAAGAGGAGGATATATCTTTCTCTGACTCACAAAAAATAAGAAACTTAAAGAAATAAGCAGATTTGTAATGGAGGAAAGGGATGTGTCAGTGTTTCTATCATGCGGTTCATGTCCTCATTAAACTATGACTCAAAAAAGTGATCAGCTGCGAGGCAGAGGGGAGAAGGGTGAAGCCAGGCAGGGGACCTTGAGAGGGGAAGGGATTTAGGATAGATCAGTGGGTGAGATATAACAGGGAGCCAATCGGGAAGAAATCAGAGACCTCGCTTTAAGGCAGAGCTTCCGCTAGGATTAGTGGGCTGGATTTTTGGAGAAACCACCCTGCATGGGGGAAGCAGAAGGTTATCTTAACACGGACATCTCCCCAGAGAGATTTCAGTGACAGCACTGAAGAAGCCCAGAGCCACAGATAATTCTGATTTTAACTCAAGACACCCGCACACCCGAGGGCTCTGAGAGCGAGTCCTCAGACATCCCAAGGGGAGTATCAGCCCCAACCACCTGCTGGAGGAGAAAGTGCTGACCCACTTGGAGTTGCCAGGAGCCGTTCCCCGGCCACCCTGCTGAATGAAGCCAGGTGCACTCCCAGCCCCGTGGCAAGGTTGCCATTCTGATATGAAAATAACCAAAGTCCCCACTCAAAAATAACATCTGCTCATTTGCGTGGGAGTTTTGCATTTCATAATTGGGTTTAATATGCAAATGCTAAGATTCATGTGTTAGGCTAGCTAAGTGGTTTAGAGGTTCAGTGGGTAAAAACTCCTCACAGTGTTTCACTCCGGTGCACCGAGACCCGCACCCATGCTCCCCGACTCTGTGCTCTCCCCACTCCTTGGATTGACTCTCATGTGAATTATGGGACATAAATACAAAATCGATTTACCTAAAGGCTTGTCATGTCTAAGAGGGTCTCAGCCAGGGCATCCCCCCACGTTCCCATGTCTGCTGTGGGGCTCCGAGTCCTCCAGCGTCTTCATTTAAGATGAGCAGCTGCTCCTTGGTGCTACCTGGACCCGGGTGTGAGGGCGGCGGTTATGGAGTGAGAAGTTTGAGAGGAGACAGCAGAGAAGGTGTTAATGAATAATCGCAGGGCCTCGTTCTCCATAAAGGCAATTACTGGGATTGATTGTTCCCATGTTTCCTTAGTCACGGTTCAGATGGCTTGTTTCACTCAGATTAAGACAGATGCGTGCTGAATGCGCCCTGGCATGTGATGTCAGGAGAATTATCGATGGCACATCCCAGGCCTCTGCCTTCTTGTGCGGGTGCCACCAGGGATCTCAGCCGGGCTAAAAGGGGAGCATGGTCATTGTGCGGCTGAAGCATGTGTGTGCTATAGTCAGGTGGTTTTCCAGTTTGAGCATGCCTCAGCATACACTGGAGGGCTTGGTAAACAGATTGCTGAACCTCCAGAGTTTCTGATTTAGTTGGTCTGCTGAATAATTTGCATTTCTTTTCTTTTTTTTTTTTTGAGTTGGAGTCTCGCTCTGTTGCCCAGGCTGGAGTGCAATGGCGCGATCTCAGCTCACTGCAACCTCCACCTCCCAAGTTCAAGCGATTCTCATGCCTTGGCCTCCCAAGTAACTGGAATTACAGGGGGTGCACCACCACACCCGGCTAATTCTTGTATTTTTAGTAAAGACCGGGTTTCACCATGTTGGCCAGGCTGGTCTCAAACCCCTGACTTCAGGTGATATGCCCGCCTTGGTCTCCCAAAGTGCTGGGATTACAGGCATGAGCCACCATGCCTGGCCAAGTATTTGCATTTCTAACAATTCTGGGCTGCTGGGACTGGTCCAGAAACTCCTCTTTGAGAACCACTCAGTATGATGAAGAGTATGGACACTGGGACCAGGCCACCTGTCTGCATGACTGTAGGCCATTTACTTACCCTCTCTGTACCTGCATCTCCTCATCTTTAAAGCAGGGGGCATAGTAATAGTACCTCCTTCATGGGGTTGTTGCCAGGAATAAATGAGTGAGCACATCAGAGCATTTGTAGCAGTGTCTGGTATAGACAGTATATGAGTGCCAGGAACATGTATAAGAGATCCAGCCTGTTGTTACTGTAATGCTATCAGCCCAAGTCTGGTTTCCCCAACACCCACAGATCCCAATGCAGTTGCTGGGTCATTGTGCCCATTAGCCATCAATCCTATCTCTGGTCGCCAAGAAAGTTAATGCCCAGCTTAGTGCTAGTCAGAGCGTGGTTACACCGACATCCATCAAAATTCTCTTCTCAAGCCACCTTAACCCTTCACATCTACTGAATGCATAGAACTTGACTCAGCGAGACTGGGGCCGTAGGGCTGGGTTGCATTTGGGGTTTCTCTCCCTCGCGTGGGCAAAGAGGGGGGCTGCCTTTTCTGGTTCAGTTTCTACCCATGGATGCTGTCTGCTGAATGCACTCTTCAACTATACATTTTTAAAACATCATTTTATTAATATTTAACCCTCACAGTGTTGCTCTTAGGTAATAATTATTATTCCTGTTTTAACTCTGTTGGGGTTCAGATAAGTTAAATGACTTATCCAAATTACATATTAAAAGCCAGGTCTCGGCCGGAGGCAGGCGGGACAATTGCGTAACGCCAGGAATTCAAGACCAGCCTAGGCAACATAGAGAGATCCTTGCCTCTACAAAAAAAAAAAATTTTTTTTTTAAATTAGCCAGGCATGGTGGCACACACCTGTAGTCCCAGCTACCTGGGAGGCCGAGGCGGGAGGATCGCTTGAGCCCATAGGTCAAGGTTACAGTGAGCTGTGATCACACCACTGCACTCCAGCCTGGGTGACAAAGCAAGACTCTGTCTCAAAAAGAAAAAGAAAAAGAAGGCTGGACATGGTGGCGCACACCTATAATCCCAGCACTATGGGAGGCCAAGGCAGGCAGATCTTTTGAGCTCAGGAGTTCGAGACCAGCCTGGCTAACATGGAGAAACCCTATCTCTACTAAAAATATAAATATTAGTCGGGCTACATGGGAGACTAAGGCATGAGAATCACTTGAACCTGGGAGGTGGAGGTTACAGTGAGCCCAGATCGCGCCACTGCACTCCAGCCTGGGCGACAGAGAAAGACCCTGTCTCAAAACATTAAAAAATAATAAAATTTAAAAATTAAAAATTAAATTTTAATTTTCAAATAAAATTTTAAAAAATTTTTGTATTTTACTTTAAAAATAAATTTATGTTTTAAAAATTAAAAATAAAAGCCAGGTCTGTCTGACTTCAATAATCTATGATTTTAAAGTTCTACTATATCCCCTTGCTAATGTTATATGAGCATTTATATAAAGATTAAGGCTGGGTCCCCAGGAATCCAGCAATGGCAGCTGCTCCCCAAAGGTAAACTCCCCAGAACTGGCACTGGTGTGATTTAGGGGTTTGCTTTTCTAAAGGTTACGCTAGGAGTCACAGAACATATTCCTTTTGGAAATGTCCTCTTCAGGGACTTGCCCTCTATTGCTGGTTATTCTCTGTGGCCTGACCTCTGTCTGGATGAAACTGTGTTCGTGGTCCTAAAGGTGCTTTCCTTTGTCTGAATTTGGATATTGACTTAGTATCTTAACATTTCTGCTCTGGTGCGGTGCTCCCAACCAAATGGCCAGGAAAGTATTCAGAAGCTCTGCTGAATATAGGAAGAGAGAAAAAATGTCATGCTAATGGAAGTTTGCTTTTCTCCCACAGTGTTCCTTTCTGCCGAAATTCTCCATTCATATAGAAACCAAGTATGAGGACAACAAAGGAAGCAACGACAGTGTGAGTAGCCCCTCCTTCCATGCTGTGCTCACCTCTTGGGCTCTGAAAATTGCAGCACTTCTCACAGCTCCTCTGTGACCAGGGCCAGCAGTGGGACCTGTGCCTGGGACCGCAGAGATGCTCTGGCCTTTGGCTTCTGAGGGTTATTTCCCTGGGACTTTTCCCTGGAATTCTTTTGTTGTCTAGCTTTTCTTTCTCATGTTTATGTGCTTTCCATGGGCCTCTGAGCAGAAGCCTCTGACTGGGGTGACTGTCGTGGAGGTGGAGAGGACGACAGGGTACTAGGAACTTCAAGATTTGGATTCTCATCATTGGACGGAGTACATATCTTCTCAACGCCTATTCATATTTACTTCAAAAAGGGAATGCAATCAAATATATGTGTGCACAGAAAAGGAAATATAGTCAGATAAGTGTGAACAGAAAAGGAAATACAGGCCCAGTGCAGTGGCTCATGCCTGTAATCCCAGCACTCTGGGAGGCTGAGGCAGGCAGATCACCTGAAATCAGGAGTTCAAGACCAGCCTGGCCAACATGGCAAAACCCTGTCTCGACTAAAAATAGAAAAATTAGCTGGGTGTGATGGGGCACGCCGGTAATCCCAGCTACTTGGGAGGCTGAGGCAGGAGAATTGCTTGAACCTGGGAGGCAGAAGTTACAGTGAGCTGAGGTTGTGCCACTACACTCCAGCCTGGGCCACAGAGCGAGACTCCATCTCAAAAAAAAAAAAAAAGAAAGAAAAGGAAATAGAATCAGATGTATGTGTACATACTGCATATATGCTTACTTACACACATGTGGTATTTGTATACACCCACACATCCTACCTTAAAATCAGGTGCTACCCCCACAAAATATTTACCTCCTGAGGCATTCTGACTTCTACTAAATTTCAGCCAAGTATTTTGCTTATTAATGTTGGTTAAAACCCATCTTCTGACCTGGCTTTTACCCCCAGGCTCTTTCTGTTGGGGCAGTACATTTCTAAGTTCTCTTTTCTTTGGGGGTGACTGTTTTGACCTACCAAAAGCCTCTCCCGGGATTAAGCTGTGGGTTCCCTCAGGACCCATTGAAAGGAAGAACCTGGATCTGGAAGCTTCAGGGCTTCCCCATAGTTCATGGAACTTCCTAGAGGAGAGTATACAGCTGGTAAAAGTACTATCCTATCACTATGTTCAGGAACCCCATCGTTAGTGTCTCCTTGAAGTGGCAGCCCAAAGGGGAATGTTTAGGGCCATTTTCCTGTCACAGGCCAAAATCACAGGCTCATTGCTGGCCAATTTCATCAAAACCACCATGTCTAAAACAGTGTCACACTGTGTTTAAACTTGAATCCTTATAAAATAGTGATTTTTTTTTTTTTTTTCTGATTAGAAAGTAGGCCGGGCACGGTGGCTCACGCCTATAATCCTAGCATGTTGGGAGGCCAAGGCGGATTGTCTGAGCTCAGGAGTTCAAGACCAGCCTGGGCAACATGGCAAAACCCTATCTCTACTAAAAATACAAAAAATTAGCCGGGCGTAGTCCCAGCTACTCAGGAGGCTGAGGCAGGAAAATCACTTGAGCCTGGGAGGCAGAGGTTGCAGTGAGCCCAGATTGCACCACTGGACTCCAGCCTGTCAATAGAGCGAGACTCTGTCTCAAAAAAAAAAAAAAAAAAAAAGTTAATACATGGCTATTCAAACTTGGAAAATGCAAAAAGAAAGTATCGAAAAAAGAAAGGAAAAACCAATAGCAGTCCCACAATTTAGAGATGACTTCTGTTAGCGATTTGGTTCATGTTGCAGATTATGGACAAATTTATTTTGTAACCAATTCCTCCTGAATTGAATCATAAAGTATGTTATTTTTAACATGCCATGAAGTATGCTTCCCCATAATGATTTTTCCTGGCTGTACCACCTTCCATATTTCAGTGTACTTCTTTAAACCTGGTCACTGCATATTGAAGTAAGCTTGACTGTTTTCGTGTAGCTGTGGACTCCCATGAAAAGGATAATAAAGTTCAGTTGCCTGAATTGCTTTTCCTGGCATAATATGAAAATATGGGGGAATTTTTTTGTTTCTTTATGAGACAGGGTCTCGCTCTATCACCCAGGCTGGAGTGCAGTAGCACGATCTTGGGTCACTGCAACCTCCACCTCCTGGGCTCAAGCAATCCTCCCACCTCAGCCCCGCTGAGTAGCTGGGGCTACAGGCACACACGACCATGCCCAGCTAATTTTTGTGTTTTTTTAGAGATGGAATTGCACCATGTTGCCTAGGCTAGTCTCAAACTCCTGGACTAAAGCAATCTGCCTGTCTTGACCTCCCAAAGTGCTGGGATTATAGGCGTGAGCCACCATGCCTGGCTGGAAAAAAAATTTTTAAATATCTTTTAGTCTTTCCAAACAAATTTCCTTGCTTTCTCTCTTTTTCTCTATGTCTCTATCTCCATGAGTTCATTCAAAACAACTCTCCATTTGAAAAGGAATAGAGAGGCCAGGCGCTATGGCTCACACCTGTAATCCCAGCACTCTGGGAGGCCATGGTGGACGGATCACCTGAGGTCAGGAGTTTGAGACCAGCCTGGGCAACATGGGGAAACCCCATCTCTGGAAAATTAAAAAATTAGCCAGGCGTGGTGGCACGCACGCCTGTGGTCCCAGCTCCCTACTTGGGAGGCTGCGGTGGGAGAATCGCTTGAGCCCAAGAGGTCAAGTCTGCAGTGAACCATGTTTGCACCTCTGCACTCCAGCCTGGGTGACACAGTGACACCTAGAAATAAAAAAGAGGCACAGAGGGGACACGTGGGCTCACTATGATCGCTATAGATTGGTGGGACCACTGTAATCTGGTTTATCCTCTGCCCAGTTCAAATAGTCCCCAGAATTCATATGGTGATTATATATTATTATATATCCCTTTTTTGGCAGGTGCTAAGGTTTTTTGACTACCCTCCTAGAAATTTAAAATAACAAGTTATCCACCTTACAATCAGGATCCAGGCCCACGCCAAGGGCCAGGCCCCTTTGAGACTTAGGCTGGCCTGCAAGAGAAGCACCGATCACCTGTTCACTCCGAGCGGTCCTTGGATACAGTTTGCTTTCTCTAGGAGAAATCTCAGCTGTTGTAGCCCAGCTTGCCTACCTCTCCCCAGCCTGTGGACTCTGGAACTGCCCAGGGGACCTGCTCCTTGTCTCCCTGTCATGGCACCCAACTTGCCCAAGCCCCAGTCCTGCCATCTTGTTACATTGAAGAGGCCCTAAATGTCTTTTTGGCCCAGTTCCCACCTCCTGCCCCCCCAGGCTCTGCTTGACTCTGCTCCACGGACCCCAGGTCTTGCTCCTGAGGCCATTGGACCACACAGCCCAGCCCCACTTTGGTAGACTTCTTTGCCAATTTGCCCTCCTCTAATTTACATATTCAGCAGCAATTGCTGTTCAGCAAGTTCAAGTTTGATCCCAGAGAGGCAGAAAAGGAGGGTTGCAGCCAGGTGCGGTGGCTCACACCTGAAATCCCAGCACTTTGGGAGGCTGAGGTGGGTGGATACCTGAGGTCAGGAGTTTGAGACCAGCCTGGCCAGCATGGCAAAACCCCATCTCTACTAAAAATAGAGAAATTAGCAGGGCATGGTGGCATGCACCTGTAATCCCATCTACTCGGGAGGCTGAGGCAGGAGAATTGCTTGAACCCAGAAGGCAGAGGTTGCAGTGAGCAGAGATCGTGCCACTGCACTCCAGCCTGGGCAACAAGAGTGAAACTCTGTCTCAAAAAATAAAAAAAGAAAAGAAAAGAAGAAAAGGAGGGCTGCATCCATTTCCATTCATACTTGTTAATACTTCAAAATCTGAACATGAGAAATATATATTTATCTAACAATTCTTTAATTACTAAATGCTAGCTTTATCTAGCCGGGGATTCAAAACTGGTGTTTTAAGCCAAGGCATATGCTGGTGTGCTCTTTTTCTGTCCTGGGTTGAGTGTGGAGTTTTTGGTGGGAGGCAGAGTTGCTAAGGAAAGCAGTGCAGTAGTGGATAATTCTCTTGTCTCACCGCATTTCCAAACTATTTAATAAACTCAGTTCATTTCTTTGCACTTTCTGGGTGTACACTCTTATCATTCAGCTACCATCCTTCATACTGCTATCTGCACTGTTTCCTCCCGTACCTGCCAAAAATTTAATGAAATTGATGACGATAAGAAGCAATAATTAAATTGAAAGAGGCTACTGATAGTCATATTGATGATAGTGGTTGAATTGAGTACATGTTGTTATCCTATTATCAATTACCATGTAAGTAATTTTTTGACGCGACCCAGTATCTAGTAAGAAAAAAATAGTGGCAGTATGAGTAGATATAAATATCTTCTCTTCCTTGTTAAAAATAAAACCAGTATACGTATGATTGTGAAAACCTGCAAACTGTGATTACATTAACCAGGATGCAGTGGGGAAGTTGTCTTAAATTGAGGCCCATTTATTTTATGCACATACTTAGGAGAATTATTTGGGCTTTCCTTAGTGCTAGGGAGGACGGCACCATGCCAAGGTAAGGTTCTGTTGTTTGTCCAAGGCCATAAATCTAGACCTAGAAGAGTCCGTGCTTAGCACTGCCTGGTTCAGCTGAACGAGAGGCTGCTCATGTGGTGACGGCTGCCAGGTTACTGGTGTTCAATGGGGTTAATGGGGGCAGCCTTGCTACTTTACTTCCTCTTCCAAACAAAGCAGGCACCATTTAAAGTGGTGCTTCCCAGCCTTGCCTGCACATTGGACCCACCTGAGAAGTTTTAACAACTCATGCCTGGGTCCCAGCCCCCTGGGATTTTTATTTAACGGGTCCTGGGTGCAGGCTGGTCTAAACCAGCCAATGAGCATGAAGGACAGAACACTCCCTTCTAGAACACGGAATTCTCCAGCTGGGCGAGTGAGAAGTTTGAGAGTCTACCCTGAGGCTGAACCTGATATGTTCCCTTAGGAGACATTGGCTATGCCGTCCCCAGCCCCGTGAAGATCTAGA